TGAAATTTATGGGGAAACAGGCTGGAAGACAGGTCACAGGCTGCCACCAGGGGGCATCCAATCTACACAGAACCCTGATATTCCAGGCCCAGGCTGGGGAGCCCACCTACCACATTCTGAAGCTTCCTTATCCTCCTAACCCTTTACTTTCTTCCTCAGTTGCCAGTTCACTCCCTGCACCCCAGGCTTTAAGCCACCCCTCTGACCATGCTTGATGGGACTGACATATGTGAGGTCCCTGGAGAGAAAGTTTTCCATGGACCCAGCCTCTTCTCTCCCAAGAAGACCCAGTCCTGTACAACCTCCCTGCCAGTCTTGTCCCTGGGGGATGTTCAGGCCCCTGCTGTGTGCCCTGCCCCTGTGGTCTCTGGGTCTCAACCCCAGTCTCATCCCTCATTCCTCCTACTAAGTGAGATTCCTCAGGTAGCACCAGAAACCTGAGTTAGATTTCTCTACTCCTGGTCATGGGGATTTCATTCTGGTAGGAAGGGAAAGGTGGCTAACTGGCTAATCTCTACGCCAGTAAATGAATCTTCCCTACTCCTCTCACAGTCCCAGGGACTAAGAAATCCCCACCCAATGACTTGAAAACAAACTCCTAAGTATATCAAGTCTCAGGCAGAGATTTGCACAAAGAGCTAGGACTGGCTTCCCCTCTTCTAGGCTCAGAATGGCCTGTGCTGGATGAAAATCTCATCTATCAGTGCAGGCAAGCCCTGCTCAAGGGCAGGGGTGGGTTCTGCAGGACCTTGTGTGGAGATGCTCAATTGGTTTCAATACGTACAAAGCATCTTCAGGTCCATTTCCTCAGTGAGGCCATACAATTGCCACAGGTGGAGGCAGTCCAGACAGGTCTGCCCCACGTAGAAAGTACATTAGTAGTCTCGGCCCTTCCCACAATCAGGCCCCATGGCCAGCATACCTGATGGGAAAGCTGTTTCTTGGCTGGCTTGGTCCATCCACTGGGATCTTGCCTCAGTTTCCCTACCCCAAACTGCTGACATGGCTGTGGCTCTGACTCCCTGCTCTTGCTAAGCTCCTTCCCTCACCCACCATCACACCAGGGGCTGGGCCTGTCCTTAGACCCTGATGATTCGCAGGGGTACCATATAATTCACCACACTGGTTCCTTGGTCTGGCTTTCATCTTTTTCTCAGCTCAGAAAGCTCTGTTATCAAAAGGAATATTAGGCAGCTTTAGTTTTTAAAATTTTTTGGAAAAACACTTTTCATTTTAGATTCAAATCTTTTAAGGACAATTTTTATTTTTCCTATGAAAAAGTGAAGTGTGCACCCCAAAAGCACTTTTTAGAATAATATTTATAACTCTCATTAATGTAGTTTACTATGTGCCATATTTTGTTCAGATAGAGTGGGAGGGAGAGAGAGAGGCAGAAACAGCAACATGAAAGGGGCACATCGAGTGGTTGCCACCCACACAACCCAACCAGGGGATAAACTGCAACCGAGGTTCGTGCTCTTAGTGGGAACCGAACCCGGGTCTCTCTGGACCACAGGCCAACACTCTAACTGCTGAGCCAAACCAGCCAGGGCTGTTGGGAATGTTTAAAAGAGGACATTAGATTTTTCTCAAATGTTTTCATTTTGTAGGTGGAATATAATTTTTATTTGTGTAATTTAAAAATAATCAATAGACCCGGCTGGTGTGGTTCTGTGGATTGAGGGTTGTCCCATGGTCTGAGAAGTCCCAGTTCAATTCCTGGTCAGGGCACATGCCTGGGTTGCAGGCTCAATCCCCAGTAGGGGTGTGCTGGAGGCAGCTGATCAATATTTATCTCTCACATGGATGTTTCTCTCTCTCTCTCCTTCCTCTTTCTCTAAAAAATTAATAAAAACATATTTTAAAAAAATAATCAATAGCCCTGGCCAGTTTTCCTCAGCAATTAGAGCACTGGCCTGTGAACCAAAGGGTTGTGGATTTGATTCCTGATCAAGGGCATATATGTGAGTTGCAGGTTAAATCCCCAGCCCAGGTCGGGGTCATGTGGGAGGCAACCAATTGACGTCTCTCTCACATTGGTGTCTTTCTCTCTTTTCTCTCCCCCTCCCTTCCACTCTATCTAAAAAGCAATGGAAAAATATCCTCAGGTGAGGATTAACAAAAAATAAATAATCAATAAAATATTTGATTTAATCAATTAAGATATCCCTTTGTAATAGGCAGCCTCTATGAAGCCCCCTGATGATTCCCACGTCCTAGTACTTAGACCCTTGTGTAATATCCTCCCTTTGAGTAACTTACTTCTAACCAACAGAATATGACAACATGGAGGGGATGACATTTCTATAATTAGGTTACAGAAATTTGTGACTGCTGTCTTGCTAGTACTCTTACTTCCTTGGCTTGCATGCTTTGATGAACTGAGCTGCCATGTTGGAAGGGCCCACGTGGCAAGGAACTGAAAGTGACCTCCTGCCAACAACCCTTAAAGAACGGATGCTCCCTACAAATGAGACCATGGACCCTAGACTGACTCGGCCTTGACTGCAGCCTTGAGAGAGCTTGCTGACCTACAGAAATGGTGAGATGACAAATGAGCATTGTTTTAAGTCACTAAGTTTTAGGGTAATTTGTTATGCAGTAATACGTAACTAACTAATATACTTTCTTTATCAAAGTAAAGAGACAACAATAAATCATCATATAAACTGATATAAAACAGAAGACCTAATTTGATAGCATCAACAAATATCTGAAGTCATGCAGAGTAATGTAACATCTGTGTCAGAACCATCTAGGGACAGACCCTGTCTTTTGCAGTCAGGCTGCCTTTCAGGGAAGGGGTGGCTCCAGAGCAGGGTTGAGAATATGAGTGTGTGTGTGTTGGGGGGTGTCCCTCACAATCAGTGCCCCCCCCTTTCAGGCCCAAAGGTGCCTTAGGACAAGGACAATCCCAAATGGGACTCTCGCAGAGGCCAAACCTCCCCTGTCAATCGGAGAAGCCCCTAGGAGAGACCTCTCTACCCCACCACCAGACTGTCAACCATAGCAGGCTGGATTCCTCCTCCCAGCGTCTTCCCCCATACCCACCAACCAGCTCAGAACCCTGCTCAAATGGGGAGCTCAGACGATGTGGCAAAGAGGCCATCAGATGACAGGTGGAACAGAAACACAAACTCAAAAAATGCGTTTCTCTGCCGTTTATTCATCTTGGTTCACACTCAACACACAAGAGCTAGACGCAAGTTCCCAGGGTCACTGCTTCAGCCTCACTCCCCACTGCTTTCACCCACCCACCTGTTAGGGATGGAAGTCTTTAGAGATAGAAAGAGCTCCCACATTTTGCAGGTTGGAAGACGGAGGGCCAGAGGCAGCATCAGTGACCTCTGTGTTACTGCTCACCCACCAGGATCTTGCAACCTCTTAGCTCCCAGAAGCAAAACAGAGAACTTGGCTACCTTAGTCTTTGGCTCTCCCCAGAACTCCCCAGCTCTCTACCTCTTAGAGCTTCTGCTGAAGCCTGTCAACTCCCATTTAAAGGGCCATTCAGTGATGGAAGGAGGTAAGACTCAGCATCCTGAGTTTACAGAGGCAGGGCAGACACTGCCCCCTGCCCACTCTTGAAAGTAGAATTGTGGTTCCTCTGGCTCAGACAGTCTGATTTCAGGGAAATGAACCAAACTAATTCAACATCCAGGGTTGCTAAAGCCAGAGAGGCACAGAGAGGGAAATGAAATTTTACCCAACAGCCTGGGAACAATTTGTCCATTCCTTGCAAGCTTATAATCACACATTTCTTTCCATCAGAAGCTTAAATCAATTATGGTCTGTAACAGCTCCTTTGCGGTGGAGAGAAGCTGGTTTGTGGTTTGTTTGGAACTGGTATTTTATAATTCCCAAACTCCTATTCTTCCCACAAGCATCTCCCCATCCCCATCTCCCATGTGCCAGAGGCAGAGTTCAAGAGGGACAGTCCCCTATCTTCTTCTCTGATCCCACACCCTCCCTGCCATGGTGTCTATCACCACCCCTAGATCCCCTCCCTGATACTAATTTTCTACATATTGCCCCAGCAAAATTGCAGCCAAAAAGCCATGACAGGCCAAAGCAGCTAACACCTACAGCAAATCAACCATGAGGGACCACAGCCTTAGCAGAGCAAGGTCTAGAAAGAGTGAGGGGAAGAAGAAGGAGAGGTGGCCTGGGAAATCCCAGGAGAATGAATCAGACATAACCCTCAGATACATGACAGCAGGCAGCCCATGTTCCAGGGAGCAGTAGGACCCTGTGGAGAAAAAAAGGCTACAGCAGGCCATGGGTAACACAGGGTGTGGATGGATGTCCACATGTCTAATTGAATATATATTTGCACTTGCTTGGGAGTCTGCCTGCAAATACACATGTTCCTAATATATACTTCCCACACATGCACCCCTACTTATAGGCCTATGTACTCAAGAGCTCACTCACATACACCCACCACAAGCCTGCACATTCAAACTCACTCATAGGCACACACATCTTTTTCATATACAGTTGGCCCTTGAATAATGGAGGGGTTAGAAGTGCTGAGCTCTGAAACAGTCGGAAATCCATTTATAACTTTTGACTCTCCAAAACCTTAACTAATAGCCTGCTGCTGCGCAGAGGATAACATAAACAGTCTAATCACACATATTTTATATGTTTTATGTATCATACACTGTATTCTGACATTAAAGTAAGTTAACAAAATGTTATTAAGAAAAATTTTGCCCTGGCCAGTTTGGCTCAGCGGTTAGAGCATTGGCCCGTGGACTAGAGAGGCCCAGGTTCGGTTCCCGCTAAGGGCACGTACCTCAGTTGCAGTTTGTCCCCGGCCCCGGTTGGGGTAATGTGGGTGGCAACCACTTAATGTATCTCTCTCACATCAATGTTTCTTTCTCTCTCTCTTCCACCCTCTCTCCTTCCCGCTCTATCTAAAGATAAATGCAAAAATGTCCTTGGGTGAGGATAAAAAAAAAAGAAAGAAAGAAAATCTTAAGGAAGAGAATACATTTACAGTACTGTACATATTTATTGAAAAAAATCCACGTTAGCGGACCTATGCAGTATAAACTTGCATTGTTCAAGGGTCAACTACATATCCTCATTCATGCACATATATACACACTGTTGGGTACTGTTCACACATGCATATACAAATTAACTCTCTCTTACATACATGCCATACATACAAAGATGGACACACTCATAGATAAGCCTGCACACGTTTGCCTGTGTGTACACACAGCACACCTAAGCTGATGCACAGGTACTGATTCACACATGCCTGGCATATGTTAGCACATACATACTCACTTATGCTTACCTGCACTCATACCAGCTAATCATCACACACATGCCTGCAAATATATACATTTACATATACCCTTGCACCCCAGGGGAGGCACACTCTTAGCCCTGGTCCTGGGGCCTGGATGGTGCTGCCCTCTGTTGGAGATAGCGGATAAGCTCCTTTCTGTTGTCTAGGATGGTATCGAAGCTCTCCTGAAGGCGGGCCTGCTGGTTAACCAACTGGTGCTGCAGGCCTCGGATCCACTGCAGCAGGGCCAGGCGGCGGTACATCACCAAGTGCACGTGGTGCTTCTCCTTCTCCTGTTCTTTGTAGCGCTCTTGAGCCTGCAGCTTCTGCACAGCCTGGGCCACTGAGGGCAGAAGGGGATCTGAAGGGCCAGGGCTTTGAGGGGTCCCACAGGCAGGCTCAGGGCTGCTGCTAAGGCTGTCAATGCTTAGAGAGCTGCTGGCATAGCCGTTGTCTTCCAGAGGGGAGCAGACTGTGCCGGCACTACTCATCTTCTCAGGCTCAGCTCTGGGGATCTCTGCCCCCTCTGGTGGACTACGGACCTCCTCTTCAGGGAGTCCAGAGGCCTGGAAGGCCTGGTTGTCAGAGGACAATTCGGAGGACCTCCTCATCAGGATGGGCTCCACTGGGTCTGGCATCCCATGCCAATTCTCATTGGCATCCTTGGCACTTGCCATGAAGTTGGAGTTGCTGTCTGGGTGGAACTCAGGCTGACATACTCCAGGAGGCAGGCCCCCTAGGAACTGGCCCCCTTCAGCTACCCCTGGCTGGATGGTGAACATCTGGTCTGTAGAGGGGAAGCAGAAGAATGAGTCAGAGCAGGACAGGGTAGGGTGCCCTGACAGAGTGGAGGCAACCTAGCTGCAGGGACAAGGCAGCAAGTGGAGTCTACCTGCTCCTTCTTAGTCCCTTTCCCTGCACGCTGGTAACACCTCCCTTTGTGGTTGTCCTCCTCCCTTTCTGTCTACTGCTTCTCAGTCTCCTGCACAGGTTTACCCTCAGCCCTCTGAGGAGGCTGTCTTCTCATTCTACGCACTTCTCCCCAGATGACCTCATCCTCTGCTGCAGCTTCGAGGAACATCATGTGTTGGTGACTCAGATCTGCCTCCAGCCCAGATCCAACTGCTATCCAGCCACAGGCTCCTCCAATTCTATGTGTTCAACCCAGCTCTCCCTCTTCTGTGGTCTCAGCAAAATGACCCCACCCTCTATTCAGTCATTCTAGTCAGAAACCTGACAGCACCCTAGACCCCTCACTCTGCTTCCTTCCCCCATCTCACTGGCCACCACATTCTGAAAATTCTTCCTCTTAAAAACCACTGTGTGTATGTACATACATCTCCCCTTGCTTTCACTTGGTTCAGGCCATTTCTTACGCAGACTACCGACTGCCAGTCTTTTCACTGATCTCTCTGCCTCCAGTCACGAATGTAAATTTGATTCATCGCAGCTCCCTAAACTCCTGCTAAACCTCAACATGGCCTACAAGGCTGTGCTTCATCTGGCTCCTGCTCACCCCTCCAGACTTGCCTCTTGCCACTCTGTCCCTCCTGCCACACCAAGCTGCTCAGAGATCTCAAAAATTCACCATTATTCTCCTCGCACAATGCCCTTGGCCTACAATACCCTTCCTCTCCCCTCCCCACTCAGGTCCTTCCTTCTCCACCCAGCAAATTCCTTTTTATACTTCAAAACTCAGCTCTAATACCTCCCCCCCTGAAGCCATTGTGATATTCTCCCCACTGCCCCAATATACACAAATACACACACAGTTAACTCTGTCTTCCTCTGGGTCGGCACTGCCCTGCATACACACTGTCTAATTCATGTTTATTTCTTGTCCCGGGCACATAATTGATGGTCAGTACATGTCTATTCAATTTTTTTAAAAACCCTCTTGTGATAGCAGCTTGTAAATCTGGCTCCCTGACTAGAGGTGGAAGTCCTCTATATACCCCCCATCATTATTCTCAGGAGCCATCACGAAGCTTGGCACTAAGCAGGTGTCAGTCCACACTTGCTGAATGAGTGAGTGGGGGAGAGGGAGTGGGCTGCCCAGGGACAGCTATGCTCAGGAAGAGTAGCAGGAGACTACTGCTGACTACCTAGGGCTGGAAGAGGCAGGTTCAGTTCCTTCCTCTGCCCAAGGAGGACCCCACCTCCCTACAGACAAGCCTCTGGGACCTTGCCCCTTTCTTCCACACCTACTATCCTGTGTCCCTGCCCCTACCTTGCTCCATCCTGATGCTCTGGAGGGAGGGCACACAATACCATTCTTTCCTCCTCGATAACCAGCTTCTACCAAAATTAGGGTTTCAATGAACAAGAGGCTTCTACTGAACACATATTACTGGAATTAGGAAATTCTGGTATCAGTAAGAGTGAGGGATAGTGTAAGTATGCCAGGGACCCTTTCCCCACCCAGTAATGGGCAGAAGTCCTGCGGTGGGAGTGGGGGGACAGTTCCTTTATAACCTACAAACTCCCCCCTAAGCAGGTGCAGGGAGATCTTCCCCTCCCAAATATTGTCTTTTTCCTAAATTTGGGCGGGGCCGTGAAGAAAACTGGGATGCAACGGGGCTGGTGTTACGAATCACGGGGTTCTCAGAGACGGTAAAATGGAAACCCTGACACCCCAGGGTCAGGTTCCTTTCCCAGCTACCCGCAATTTGCCAGGGTTTGGGTGGGTGGGCGGGAGGTCGCTCTGTAAGGATGGGGGGAATCGCCTCCCTTCCTGCCAAGCCTTGTGGGAGAGGGCGTCTACCCCCAGCACAGAGAGCGGAGACCATCCTTCCCTAATCTCCCCATAGGTGGCAGCTGTGCCGAGGCTGCAATTTCCCTCCCGGCCCCCGAACTCCTGCGGCTGAACCCCATACCCTCCACCTACGGCCCCCGACTCACGGCCTGGAGGCGCCCGCCCTGGCACGGCCGGCTCTGGTTCCACGAGCCCCGCCGCGGGAACTCGTCCCTCCGGGCTGGGGAGTCCCTTGGCCTGGGTGCACGCGGGCCTGGGCGTGGGGCGCGGGGATCCTGCGCTGCGCTCCTAGCCCCCGGCGCGGACTGCGGGGCCCCGCGGCGTCAGCGCGTGGGGCGGGGCGGCCTGGCCCACGTGGGCCGGCTCGGTTTCCCGCGGAGCCGCGCGCGGGTCTCAGCGCCTGAACCACCTCCCCGCCTCCGGCTTCCGCAGCCTTGACCGCGGCCCTGCAGGTCCAGTTTTATTTCCTAACTGCTTTCACGGGGCCCCTCCGATCGGCTTGCCTCTCTGCAAATACAGTGGCATTTTCAAAATGAAAATCTGAGCTCGTCCCCACCATCCTGCTAAAACCCCTCAGTGGCTTCCCCATTGCAGCTTAAACCCTTAAAGCAGCATCCTCAGGGCTCCGAGCGTCCTGCCTGTCTCTCCGCTTCAGCCTTTGTGCTCCATCTCTGCGCTGGGGCCTGACGCTCCTTCCTGCCGCGCGGCTGGTGCACACCGGTTCCCCCTGCCTAGCATTCTCGCCCCCTTTCATATTTTACATCTCTTCTCAGATCAACCTTCTCTGACCTCCTTTGATCCTACCCCCGGGCACTTTGTTCCTTTTCTTCATAGCATCTATCACAGTTTGAAATTATGCATTCATCGTGTGCTTATTTATTAAAGTCACGTATGAAAGCTACGTTTTTAAAAGAAGGGGGAAAAAATCTGCTCTGAGACAGACGTGGGGCGACTGCCGGGTCCCTTGGCATCCCACAGGGCAGAGAACACCTCACTGTGCCAGTGCAGTGGGCTCTTCTCAGTCTCTATTTACTGAAGCCTGATCCCCTCACTCCCTTCCTCCTTGGGGAAAATGTGTAGGGTTTGGGGGCCCACTTTGCAACCAGAGAGAACAGAGAAAGTGCTGGCTTTAATGATACAACCAAAAAGCAATGTTGAGTAAATTAAAGCTTCTTGAAACAAGTCCCCCGGAAAGAAGATGGGGACAAATTTAGCCTTAAGGGCACATGAGCCTCTAGGAGGGCCCTTCTACACCCCCATTTTACTGAGCAAACTACGCAATTGGCTGCACCTTCCTTATGTACCCCCCACACCCCATTTCAAAACTAAAGTAATATGGAGTCATTGTTGAATCATAATATATTTAAAATACCTTGTCTTGCCCTGGCTGGTTTGGTTCAGTGGTTAGAGTGTTGGCCTGTGGACTGAAGGGCCTCGGGTTTGATTTCCGGTCACAAGGTACCTGGGTTGCAGGTTCCATCCTGGCCCTGGTTGAGGTTGCATAGGAGGCAACCTATTGATGTGACATATCAATGTTTCTCTCTTTCTACTCTCTTTAAAAAATCAATGGAAAAATATCCTTGGGCCCAGCTGGTGTGGCTCAATGGTTGAGCGTCAACCCATGCATCAAGAGGTCGCCAGTTCGATTCCCAGTCAGGACACATGCCTAGGTTGTGGGCCCAATCCCCAGTGGGGGACATGCAGGAGGCAGCCAATTGATACTCTCTCTCATCGATATTTCTATCTCTCCCTCTCTCTTCCTCTCTCTTTCTCAAATCAATAAAGAAAAAACATTTAAAAATATATATATGTCCTCGGGTGAGGATTATAAAAAATAAATAAAATAAAATACCTTGTCTTTCCCTCATCCCTTTCTTTTGCCTTTTTTTTTTTTTTTTTCAATGAGAAAGAATTCAAGTCTGTGATCTCCATGCCAGGGCGTCCTTTTCCAGTTTCAACTTGATTATAACTCACCATTCTGCAACCTCAAGACTAAATGCAAATTAAATCACACCAACCAATCCTATATGCAAAAATAAGGGAAATAGAAGAGAAAAAAAAAATATGATTATGACAACTCCTATTTTGAGAGGGAAAAGGAAATAAAAGGGAGAAGGCAAAAGTAACTCAAACTTTGGCCACTCCCGAGCTTAGAATATACAGGCAGAGACCTCAGCCCCATTTCTACATCAGGTCCTGAGGCCAAACTAGTTTTCCCTTTTCCTTTATCCACTGCAAGTGCCCCTTGTCTTCAGCCACAGTTTTCTTCCTTGTGAGGTGACCCAAATCCTCACTCCTAAATGCTCTGAGCTCCAGTGGTCTGCAGTTATGCAACCATACAGCCATATGGATTGTCATTGGATTGTTTGGTGGGCCCAGAACAATGCCCCCCCACCCTTCCTTCAGCTCGGTCTCTCCCAGCTCTAACCACCTGGGTTAAATGGGAGCCTGATGAGTCCAAAGATAGGACTGCCCATTCCAAGTGAGTTAGTGAGAGTCCTTCTCTGGGACTTTCTGAAATAAAACTAAGGAAGACAAAGCAGGGAAGATATGAGCCTAGGGCTGTAGCAACATCATTCCCTGGCAAGAAGAAGTCAGTGTGTAGTGGGAGAAAACGATGTTGACACACAGAAGCAGAGACAAAAGACAGTCCTGGTGATGTTCCAGTCTGTTTCCTGAGGCCTTTGTATACCTTCCAATAAAGCCCTTATTTTGCCAAGCCTAACTTGAGTGAGATTTCTTTCACTGGCAATCAAAAGAACCATGATTATTAGAGCACCCCTGGGTCCCACTTATGCACCTCTCAGTCCTCATTAAATAGTAGCAAGTCTATTTCCCCTTGATGGCTATTATCAGTCCAGCCTACATGGTGACCTCCTTTCTTCTATTCCTCTAGTATTATGAGGAACTTGAAATGCAGTGGAATCATCTTTGTGTTCCCTGGTTAGAAACATTCCTCCCTAGAGGCTAAAACCTCCAGATCTGCAGAATCTAGAATGTCAGAGACAGGAAACAAACTCTTAGAGAAAGTCATTAGGTACAATCACATAAGGTGCTACACCTACCTCTACCTCTTCATATGCGTTCTGGCTACAAAAGACAAAGAATTATAGATTTTGTTGATTTGGAGTCTATATTGTACTCAGCAGAGCAGCCACCCAACCTGGCATAGCTGAGTCATCAATTGTTCATTCCATTGTTCTATAAAGCTAGTTGTTCTAATAACGTAATACCTGATCAATCCAGTGAATTCCAAGGGTATCAAACTCTAGCCTCTCTTTTCTTAGTCAAGGGCAATGTTGTGTGGGATACTCTAGCACTATATAATTAATGCAGTAAGTGCACAGACTATGGTCCTGGCCTCTCCATAATTTTCAGAGAGTTGGGAGCCTGGAAAAAAAAACACAAAAAAACAGGAAGGCAGAGGCGTCCATGTCTGTATGACCATAGAAAAGCAAAAAGTATAGATGTCTGTTATTCATTTGCCAGAAGCTTCTTCAGTCAGGATACCAGGGAAGCAGTCATTCTAACTGAAGGGATATATGTGGCTGTGTCCACCTAACTACTTAGATCGAAGGGATTTAATTGGCAGGGACACCAACATCATCAGAGATGGTCAGTACCAGCCTGAACAGGATCTCTGCAGCAGGCCAGCCCATCATGAAGATCCAGCAGTGGGCAGTGAGTAGGTATCTTGTCGAGCAGACAGATGTCAGAGCTAAGAGAGAGGCTAGCAGCGAGTAGCCAACTCCAGGCCCAAGGGACCTGGGGTGTGAGACAAGGGGACAAGGGAAGATGAAAGGAATTTCTACTCCAAAAATTAGGAGAGGCATGAGTTCCTCCATAGGTGGATAATTTTTCAATGTCAGTACTCCCAGGAAGAGGTGGATAAGATCAAGGTGTTTCAGAGTCAAAGACCTGCCCCTTCCCATCCATTCACTCACACCCAGGACATAGTTATGGAGTCCTTACTTTGTGCCAGGCACCATGCTGGGGATTCAGGGCAGAATCAGAACTGATGGTGGCCTTGGGGAGCTCCCTGTTTAAAAACAGAAACAGCCCAGGCTGGTTTGGTTAAGTGGTTAGAGTGTCGGTCCTCAGACTGAAGGGTCACAGGTTCGATTCCCAGTCAAGGGCACGTACCTGGGTTGCAGATTCAATCCCCAGCCCCAGTTGGGGTCACGTAGGAGGGAACAAATTGATGTGTCTTTTTCACATTGATGTTTCTCTCTCTCTCTCTCTCTCTCTCTCTCTCTCTCTCTCTCTCTCTCCTCCTGCTCTTCCACTCTATCTAAAAATCAATGAAAAAATATTCTCAGGTGAGGATTAACCAAAAGAACAAGAGGGAGGGCAGAGCTAGAAGCAAAAGTAGTGAGCACAAAATAGGGTAGGGAAAGGCTTTATAGAGGTGATACTTGAGCCAGGCTTTGAAAGATGAATAGAAACTCACCAAGAGAAAGCAAGAGAAGGCCAAGGAGACCGTATGTGGTATGTGTGTTGCAGGGGAATGTCCAACCAGGGGGCCATATATGGCTGGCAAAATCAATACCAGCTAACATCACACCCCTCACCATATTAGCCTGACCAAATATAGCAGGCTACTTTTTAAATTGATCATTTTGTATGACCCTTGAATGATGTTGTAAATATCCAAATGGCTCTTGGCAGGAAAAAGGTTCCCCGTTTCTGGGAATGCGACCAGTTTGGCTCAGCGGTTAGAGCATCGGCCCGAGGACCAGAGAGCCCCGGATTCAGTTCCTGCTAAGGGCACATACCTCGGTTGCAGTTTGTCCCCAGCCCCAGTTGGGGTCATGTGGGTGGCAGCCAGTCGATGTGTCTCTCACATCAATATTTCTCTCTCTCTCTTCCCCCTTCTCTCCCTCCCGCTAAGGGAAAAAAAAAAAAAAAGACAACACAAGGAAGGCCAATGTGACTGGTACATGGAGACCAATAGAGGAAGGAGATAAACCTGGAGGATAAAATGGACCAAGAGGTGAAAAGTCTTGACCACCATTCCCAGGGGCTGGGGCTTCTTCCTGCGGTCAGCAGGGGATAACAGAAAGCTCCCAGAGGTTTCACATCAGAACGAAGCAGAGGCTCCTAGTCCTGGAGTACAAGCCACCTGCTTCTTTCTCTTTTCCTGAGCTCATATCATCTGTCAACCTCCTCATATGGCTTTAGAAACTTAGGAAAATCAAATCATTTTAACCTTTTTAGGTTAAATAAAGGCAATGTGCCTTGAACATTGTTAATTAGTGTTATAATGTGAACATTGTTAGTTGGGAT